ATTCCAGGACTATTTTTTTTTTAGTGAGATTAGACATATGGGAACGGGGAAAAAACACTTCTTAACTGCATTTTTGTATAGAAACAAACATTTTTGATAGGGATGCTCCGATCAGGATTTTTGCAGCCGATACCGAGTACCGATTTCTTGTCATAATCAGAATGCATTTTTTTATTACCAGACCCACGGATTATCCACCGCACCCGTTGATATAGGAAAAGCAAAATAAGTTTGCTGCCTAAATCAGACGGACTTACTGAAAATGCAAATTAATTCTCTGCCAGCAGGAGATTATTTACAGTGGGAGAAACAGAGGTTTCCCCGGTAACGGCTGTACACAAAGCAGCGCTGAGCTCTCAAACGCTGCTTTATCAGGCATATAACATGCAAGATTAAATGAAAATGACATCGAAAATTTTCTAAAGATAGTCTTCCTTCAGAAATACAGTGATATAAAAACACCCGGGCCTCGTTTAGATTTTTAAACGTGCAGTACGTGCTCATGTTTATTCAACAAAGCCTTTTGGAAAATCGATTAGTTTTGATATTGTGGCGAGCTCCACAAATAAATAAATGCATGGGAAACACATCCCACAGCACAACCACCTGAGCCCAACTTCAGTCTACTCATCACCTTAACTTTAACTGCGTTTGTGGTCGGCACCATAACCAGACTGATAAACAAACACAGACCGGAAGTTAACTTCGGGCCAGGCGTGTGCACCCGATGAAAGCATCAGAATCAGCATCGGTATCGGCTGATCACCATGACAAGAAATCGGTACTCCGTATCGGCTGCAAAAATCCTGATCGGAGCATTCCTATCAAAAATGTTTGTTTCTATACAAAAATGCAGTTAAGAAGTGTTTTTTCCCCGTTCCCATATGTCTAATCTCCCGATGAAAGCATCAGAATCAGCATCGGTATCGGCTGATCACCATGACAAGAAATCGGTACTCCGTATCGGCTGCAAAAATCCTGATCAGAGCATTCCTATCAAAAATGTTTGTTTCTATACAAAAATGCAGTTAAGTGTTTTTTCCCCGTTCCCATATGTCTAATCTCACAAAAAAAAAAATAGTCCTGGAATAAGTTATATGACTACATAAATAGTCATAACACTTGTCCCAAAATGCAAAAAATAAAAAAATAAAAAAATTTCCAACACTAGTTAGCACACTCGCCAATCCAGAATCAAAGCAATCATTTAAACTGTATGTGGTATACTTTTGCATGTTTTAATCCAAATGAGGCTTAACAACACATTCAAGGTGCCCACATTCAAATCCATTGTTCATTTGCACTGAATTTCAGTCTAACAGCATGTGCTCCAAATAAAAGCTCTGCAATGCACTCGAATAACACAAAAATGGGTTGACAGCATGGTGGCTTTGGGGAAAACACATAAATGTCGGCTTCCTTGTGCCCAAAGCAACTTATTACAAAGACTGTAAATAAGAAAGAAAAAACACTGTAAGAGAAGTCATAACAAAAGAGGTCAAATCTAAAGAGGGCAAAACTACAATGCTAGTGCATGAACGTTCATGATCAGACACTTTTTGATAGCACAGACTCTAAAAGGCATTGTGTTACATGACAGTGTATCTGCGATTAAAGCAGCACAGTAAGATTATGCATAACAATGCCTTCAAGTTCAATACGCCATAAGCACACACGAAAGATCTTCTACAAAGTCATTCAGACACTCTGGACAGCTCAAAAGACAGAAGATGTGTGTATGTGTCCCTAGTGACTGTAAAAGGGTAACTGGCAGCATACTTACACTGACTGACTTCTATCATGTGAAGTGGCACATCAAAAGTGAAGGATGGCTGATCACATGCAGTGCAGTAAAGGAGTCTTCTCACTACCTGCATCATATCCAGGAGGAAATGGTGCCTCAAGGAATACTTGAATATCACCTGATCAGATCTGTGAAGCCTGGAAGCTTAACTTCTCATTTAGGCAGCAAAGATATTTCTATGAGCCATGACAGAAAAATCAATAATCTGCCCCTAGCTACTCTCAAGATTGCCTCCAACTGAGAATATTTATCCAACAAAGACCAAAGGTAAATTTATTTATTCTCGATTTTGCATGTAAGTAAGGGTGATACTTGTGTCGTCTGACTTTTATGGGGAGGCCATGGTTGTGCCCTTAAGCATTTTGATTGAACAATAGGAGGTCATGGGGTCTTATTGGATGCATTTAACTCAGCTTTCTTCTGCTTTTGCACTATATGACTTGGAGGACCATATAGACTCATATTTGTGAAATCTGTAATCTTCTGACAATTAATGTAAAGAAATAATCTGACAATTTTTTTACAAATCAGCAGATCCCCGGGAATTCTAAACTAAACTGACAAGGTGGTATTTTTTTATGTATCTTGTACTTGAAATCCACACAAGTGTAGTTTCTGAAATAAAAAGTAAAGAAAAAATAATAGTGTAGACCACCATACCAGAATCCATGGCAATTCAACAAACTGGAACAACTAAAGTGCCTTTACAAATACAGAAACTAAGGGGTCAAGGTTTGGCTGGTTTACATGACCCCAAGAATCCCTGTTGGTAAATGCTAAAACTACACTGTCTGACTGCAAAACCCAACTTTTTAGGAGTTAGTATTTCTGATGTGCAATTTCGTTACATTATAGAGGTCTTACCAGTGCCAATTTGTTTACCTTTCTTCTGCCCTTGACTCCTTGTCATAGTTCAAGATTATGGTGCCATCAGCATCATGACATCATTTCCTGTGTCTAAATGAGAATGCTAATGGATAGCTTTCTCAGGTACATTTCTCCTCAACAAATCACCATGAACACATAATTTTGAGGAAAAGTTTTCTCATTTGCCACCTGTTGTTTATGGGTAGTCTATGCATAAAATTAAAATTCAGAAGTAGGCTATTTTTTCAAGCTTTAAGCAACAAAAAATAAAGATGAGATTAGCACCTAGAACTGGAATGTAATTTGAAGGTCCCACAGGTGCAAAGTTGATAACAGGTTATTATCAGTCCTTTTTTAACAATTGCTTTGAGGATATTTTCAGCTTTAGAAGTATGATTACATGCATTAAGCAGAAACTAAAATCACTTAATAGGTCGATTCCAAAAGCTGTATATGATAGAGGTAGTGGGTGTGTGCTGGTAAAAATAGCATATGCGCTTGTTTTCAGAAGTGATTCTACATTTATACCAAGAGGAGAGAAAAAAAAGTCAAAACAAAACTGCTGTTCAATGGTAACCATTCAAGTTCTTGTTCTCTTATGTACTTAAAAGGGACAGTTCACACAAAAATTATGTCACCAATTACTCACCCTCAAGTTGTTCCGAATTGACAGCTTGAAAATGTAGACTGTGAATTGACGGTCAAAAATGATCATATTAAAAATATCTTAATTTGCGTTCCAAAGATGAACGAAAGCAATTGTGGGTTTGAAACAAGGAGATTTTCATCCTTGGATGAACTATTCCTCCGCACAATGTACCATGCCAAAAAATAATAATATATATATATATATATATATATATATTTATATTATAATGACCATGACGCAGTGTAACCAAGACCATTTCTTCTCTAAGTCACCCTTTTTATTTTATCTCATCTTCAAGTACTTGTGAAGTGAAGACAAGTGCTTTATTACCCTGAGGCAACATGGTGCAATATTCACCATAAAAATGAAAAGACTTTAGGCAGCATTTGGGGTTCCTCCCTCTTGAGAGCCTCTAGGCACCATTGTGAAGGTGCCTCAAAAATTGTGTACTCATAGAAGTTCAAAATATATTTTAAGTGCCTCAAAGCCTTTCTCTTCTGATGGGGTTACTGAGGGAATTGTTGACAATCAAAGTTCTTGCATGAAGTTGCAAGTTCCTCCGGGAACTGCCCTTTCAAATGGGTGCCTAGAGGTTGTCCAAAGTGTTCTACCAGCGTGGTAGTCCGAGAACGAGAACCCCAAACAGGGCCTGAAATAATAAAAATAATATTTTTGTATATTTACAGTCATGTTGCACCATGATACCTCAGGGCAACAAAACCATTTTGTACACATTTTTGTAGGCAAATATTAGGGGTTTTATTGGTCACGCTACATCCTGCTGGTCATTTTAATATCCATTTCTGGCATGGAGCACACAATTTTTCCTCAAACGAATTTCCTTCAGAAAAGCTATTTTAATTGATTTTTCTCACATCATAAATAATTCACAGATATGCTGCTATTTATGCGATTGGAAATTGCTTAAATGTGTTTGTTGCTTATCAACAGTGAAACAATGAAATGGACACAGCTTACCTGTGCAGATCTCACACAGCTACCACAGAGTGAATATTGCAGCTATCTTATGTTATGCATCTTTTCTTATTATTATTTTAATATTATTCATCATTATTTTAGCATTCATATTTCAAGTGAATGTATGTAAAACTTTAGGAGTGAATTCCATTAGATTCTGCCACGTTGCAGTTAGTGTAAAATCTATTACACTAATATTTAGTGTAAGAAACAAGTTTCTCAATTAAGTGTTTACAATTACAGTCATCTCACTACAAATTATTAAATAAATAACAACACGAATCATTTTTAATCAACATACCTAAAAATTATGATATAGAAATTAAGTCTACCTATTGTAAAACAGAGCAAATTAAAAAATTTCTAACTTCATAATATCTGAAAAAAATCAAGCGTGATACTAACCTTTATTTGCACTATTTTATCAATGTAAGCAATTTAGCATGATGCTCCAGCTAGTTGATCGGTATAGGCTAACACAGATACTGAATGAGCACAGTAAACAAACACGTTCAGATGCGCAAGAATTTGCAGTTGACAGTCTTACAACTCTTCTTTAAAACCTGTAAAAGAACTGTTTGCAACTACTGAACCCAAACACTGAGCCCCTGACCGATGCGCTGCGTGTAAACAGACCAAAGTTTGCCTCCGTGAACAGGTTAAGCGCGAAATATTCCAAACAGAGGATTAACGGTCACTCACCTTCTGCTGACGCCGAGCCATATCTGTGGGCTGTTTGGCGTTAAACGGATACGCGATACATCTCAAAACAAACACATAAATTTGTAGTTTAATTTTCCTCTCCGCTTCTTCTTTCTTAAGTCTCTCCTGCTCGGTTGTGTCCGCCTCGGCGGGAGAAGAGACCGGTTCCTTGGTTTTGGTTCGTGGGGCGTCCGACGTCTTTCCAGGTTTGGGACTCTTTTTAACAGGTTTCCCGGTTTTAACGGGCGGTTCGTCCTCAGGTGGTAGTTCGCCCTCAGATTCATCGCTGGAGGACGGGTCCAGCATAGTCGACACTCGAGAGGCGACAACTCCTCACAGCTGTGGGAAAAGCGAGGAACCCCGAGAGGTTTCAGACGACCTCGACCACTAAAGCGGAGTTTTTCCCCCTTTTTTTCCAGAGAATGTCAAATGTGTCAGTCGCGAGACTTTTGAGGGCGGAGTCAATCCGAGAGCGATTCGGAGAAGGTTGGATTGAGCCACCTTCTTTATTTCTCTCTTGTGAAGAGAGCGCGAGCGCGAGGAGGTTAGTGCAGTTATGCGAGACAGGTAGACAACCTGTGGCATGGACAACATGCAACACGTGGGAGGTTCCCTTCTTAAAGGTACAGTCTGTAGATACCGATGCAACTTTAATGTGTTCATGTTCAATTTACTCCACTATTAATAAATTCAGCACTGCACCTATTCATTTTTATTATCAAAATCCAATACCAATCAATGCCACATAGACAACAGTACATGACAATTCTTAGTGTAGCCTATACCCCAGTCACTTGGCAGGGAATGTATAGACAGAAAAGATCAAAACTAGAAATGGTGATTAACAAAATGAAGCATATTTCCTTTTGTGCATATATACAAATACAGATAATGAGTTGTACAAAATGTACAAAAAAATTAAAGTTCTGGCTGTGATACAGTAAGAAATAATAAACCTTAATCAGGGCAGACATACCGGACAAATGGAGTCTCTGAGGGTTAAATGTACAAAAAAATTTTCAAAATATTTCCTCAACTGAATGATCAACAACTATGTGAAAGACATTACAACCCAATACAAGCTGTCTATCCCTCACCTGCTAGTTTTCAGTCACAGATAATTAAATATGAAATTGAAATTGAGAAATGTAAGACCATGCAATATGCTCATGTTCTTCAATTAAAATATGAGAGCAAAATGAAAATTATCAACCATTTTGTCTACATGCTCTTCTGAATAACAGAAAATGATATCCAATAAAAGGAGAGTAAATGTTCCTTTACTGGAGATATCACTAAAAACATGCCAGGTCTGTAAATAAATTAAGAGTTCACTAGGACTGTCAGTAGGGGGCGATTTGCCTCGATCACATCCAGAGGTCATAACAGTATAAAGGCGCCTTACCCAGTGGCAAAGTAATATAAATGTATATATGTGAAAAATATTTGAACGATAAAAGCAAACCACAGTGTTCATATTCAGCTTGCTGACCTGTGCACCCAGGGATAAATTATATGACTGCAATGACTCACAATAAGGCTTGGAGAAAAGCTATTCCTGATTGTTAAACTCAACAGTCCTTGCACCATAATTAAGTATACAAAAAGTAAGTATTAAATAATACATAATCAGATTAGACCCTTCAGACAGGCTGTGATTACCTCAACTGAACGGTGACCTTGAATCGCAATGGCTGCAGGATCCGAGCATGAATTTTCATAACGTGGGTGTTTACAGAATTAGTTCTCATCACTGCCTCACTTTGAGAACAAATATTAGCCCAAGCCCATTCAGATGACACATTAGAGCCTCCTCTTTTGTTTTACATCAGCTTTAAAGTCTCATATATTTTAATTATTATACAATTTTATTTTCCGATCCTTCCCTCTAATGAAAATGGGAGGGAATTATTGTTATAAGACAGATATACTTTCAGAGCCATTTAGGTGCATTACTTATCTCTAAGCAGCCACAACTGCAGATACATAGATGACAGTTGTTCTCTGTAACCTCATTTCATCAAAGCTAATCTGCTTCTTGAATCTCTTTGATAAGTCTGCCACCCAGGCTAGATTTGTCAAAAAAATTAATTTTGGGATTCAGTAATTAGAGATGAGACGATCCACTGCACAGTGCACAGTTCAATTAAAATTGTTACAGATTGCAAAGCTTTGTTTATTAAAATCTATTTGAATTCCTACAAGAACATGATGACTGTGAATGGTTCCAGGTGTTTATTTAAATGTTGATGTTGTGTAAATGTTGTGAAACATATGTAGAACACACAAGACAGACAGTAACTGTCTCACAGTTTAACAAAAAACATTTTACACATATGAACAATGGATGCCAACCAAATTTGACATCAAGGTTCTATGCAAAATACAAACTTCTGTAATAGTGAATTTTAAAATACTACTGAAACAAACAAAAACATTATCAAGTTATTTTTTGCAAGAAGCCAAACAGCTGAGTAGCTCACCTAAAATCAATAGCTATTATTTCCTGGCCACTGTTATGTGCAAGTTTGTCTCTAATTTTGAAGGTGGGACTGTGTACTTTCTTGAAAAAGTTGCCTGTTATTTACTCTGTTAACTTCTGATCTCATTTGTTCACAATGTAATTTCAACATTCTACCCATACAGTTCACTTCTTTGTATATATATATACATATATATATATATATGTGTGTGTGTACAGGCAAGTGTATAACAAAAATATACAGTTATATAAAACATTAAGTGCTATGTTAGTTGAGGGGACTAATCCTGTCATTCAAACTCTGCTTAAAGCTAAAGAAATATCTTTAATATAATACATTTTGTATAAACATTGCACAGCTGAATTGTGCACCAAAGCTGTTTTTAACAGCTTTTACTGGTCTCTTTGAACCCCTCAAAAGAGTAAATGTCAAAAGGAATCACAGATTTGAGCCAATGATGACAAAGATTAAAATGCTTATAATACAAAAACATACAAACAGACAATGACGTTCAAACTGAACATCTCATGGAACCCAAAGCGTTCAGTCTGTTGTATTGCCTAATCCAAGCTGGTCATACAATCTTGCCCAAGTGATCCAAATGAGTAAAACATTTGGATTGTAGGCTTTGCGCTATCAACAATTCAGCCAGCATCAAGGGATCCCATGTAATTTGAAAACTAAATGTCCACATTTGTAAAATATTCACAGTGATGGTCATACTCCTGTGCCGTTTACAACTGGTGCCCAGTCTGGGTAGGTGTCCAGGTTAAGCAGAGGTGTTCCCCATGTCGTAAGAGCTAATAGGACTGTAAGAACACCTATAATATTTACCCCCAGCCCTGCCTTCACCTATAGTGACAAAGAAAACCATACAAAGCTCAGTTACTGTAAATTTATAAGATTTACCTTTGACACATTTACTTGTGTATTGAACAAATTTACATCCAAAATGACTTCCAAAGGAACCAAATCATAGGCCACATACACACTGCAAGTTTCAGGAGTGACAACCGCCATTTAAATGTGGGAGTAAATCCCGTAAATGATCGTTCCATGTGTGTACGGAACACGACTCACTCCCGAAACTGCTATGAATGGCAGCGTGGTAACCATAGCAACGTTGTGGCATCTCGGAGAGAATGGAGGCCCACAGATTAGCTAGTTTTGTGTTAGCTGCCTGCTGTTGACAAAACAGACATTAGACTGCAAAGACATGCGAAAATCCGCAAAATGTTATTAAATCGCCGCAGTCGGGAGAGGCGTCATAATCTAGTTTTGTTCTTTAAACTGTTGTTATTGAACAGCCTACACTCTCTCGACCACAACTGCTCGGTCCACAATACAACTCTTTCCGCCATCCTGTCAGATCTGAGGTAAACCCTTGACACCTGACAATACACACACATCGGCGTGCTTCTCGTGACATCATCATTAACAGCTAGTTGTTCAGTTCGGTTCAGTACACACTGCATAGAATTTCTGTAAATGCAGTTGTCACTACCTGTATTTTTTGGGAGTTAATGCGGTTGTCAATCCCGTATTTTAGTGAATTATGTGTGTACAGAATGTGATTAAGGAAAGTAAAGGGTGAACTGACAACCGAATTTAACTGTAGTGTGTACGTGGCCATAAGGACTCACCATGTCCATGCTTGTCAGATGACCATATGTGAAGACAATGGCATTAGGAGGATTAGAAACTGGAAGTAGGAATGAAAACGACACACATAGGGCCGTGGGAATCAGCATGTACAGAGGGTTGACTCCAATTGCCTCTGCCTAATAAAAGATCATTTCTGATGAGATCAGCCCAAAAAAGTGAAGTAAAAGTAATATTCTACATATACTGAAATGACACATACCAAGGGGGCCAGTATAGGCAAAAAGATTGTCATCGTGGCAGCATTGCTGGCCACCTCTGTGATAGAGGTGACAATAAGGCAGGCAATGGTGACAGTGGCTAAAGGAGGAAGACTTCCCAAGGGAGTCAGCAATTCAGCAACCCAAGTCGATAGACCAGAAATCTGCCGGGTGAAAAAAAATGAAAAAAACATCAGATCATCTTTGAAAGGCATAAGGTAAGTTAAAGTGTCCAGCCAAGATATTCATGAGCTCAAACGAACCCACTTTCATAAATGTACCAACATCTCTTTGTATGCTTCTCAACAGAGACTGGAGTCATAATTTAGCTGTTTGTCAAGATACGGCGTCCAAACAGCCTGATGTTGCATATGGAGAATGCAGCACAGTAGTCACCCTTTCTGCTTTGAAGATTTTAAAGACTGGACTTGCCATGACATTTGGGTGTCTGGATCAAAACAGGGCTGGAGCCTTGATGATAAGACCCCAACCCAGCCTACCTACACCAGGAGAATATTAAGAAGTTGACGCTCTTGTTTCCAGCCTTTGCGACTGACATGAGGAAGGAGCCGTTTGTTATGCTGAAATGATGTGCTTCAGTGCCAGTCTTATAATGGAGGCGTGTAATTAGCTTGAATGGAACGTCAGAGCAGACAGAGAGTGACACAGTGGAATTGTTGTTCTCTGTGCAACGTTAATGGGCTGCACGCTGTTACGAGGCTTTGATGTGATCCCTCTTTTCATTTATTTATTTTAAAAGGAAATTCATGTTTAAGATTATGAGTAAAAGGTGCAATTGAGCTGTCCAGGCCTGTCCAAAGCCACTAGGGAATTAGACTGGCCTGTTTAATTGAATCCAGGCATGTTAAAATGGACCATTAACTGATTCATCTATTAATGTGGCCTTGTACTTTTCTATTCATTTCTTTTTCTCTCTCACAGATATAGTTGGGTTTCCATTAAATCCTGATCCTACCTTTGTGCCTTCAGCCAAAGCGAAACCGCCACCCACGAGCAGACTGATCTCCCATGGCATACAGGCCTGGAAGTCCTTCCACGTTATCAAGGCCACTGTCACAGGGATCGACAACGTTAATCAGCAACAAAACTGCTGATAGTGAGCCTCTAATCATTTGGAAGGTTTTCAGGCATACACAAAGGAAATGAGTAAGCCATACCGTAGTGCTCTGCATTTGGTTTGTGTGCAGGGATGATGAAGA